CATACTTGGGGTTTGCAACTTGCATAGTACTGTATGGTGACATCATGTCAAGATCCCATTCAAGTCTCTTCTCGTAGATAGCGAGACTGAGGCTACGACCTTCTGACATGACACATATCAATGTTCAAGGTTTGTAATGAATAAATAAAACTTTTCTTGTCACTATCATAGTGAAAAATGTAATACATCGAAAATGTACAGAAAATATAGTTCTCGTAATCCGTCATATCGTGAGCAGCTATTTTGATTCACCTGGACATCCCAGTATCCTAGTTACCTCGGGCATGCGCATTCGCATTTTTCTGAATTGGAACGCTTATGCGAGAGCGAGATTGTGACGGGATCTTGGTATCATGTCACCGTAGTTACAAGCCCCAAGTAATGTACCTCTGTTACAATATATTTCCCTTCACATTCCCCTGTATTACATAACAATCTTTGAGCTGAGGCAGTTATGGTTCTACAACCATCACCAGTTCTCTTGTTTTTGTTTATTCTTATTGAAAACCAAATTGCAGCGCTGATTTTTTCAACTGATTAAAATTATAATTTGGCACTTTTATTAAAGGCCAACAGAATATTGTGAGAGAATGTCTGTCCCAGGATCTCACAATTGTAGGAATTAACCACTGCCCCTTGAAGAAATAAATGTTGCACATATGGTCTTTTATCATAGATACATCTAATATTGAAAATATATTGAAATACCAAAAAAGTGTCCCAGTTGCATTATTTTCATGTTAGTGATAACCTGCAGCTCCCCTGGCTATTTTACCAGATAAATACGTCTACAGTAATTATATCATAGACCTACCATGATTAAACACAGTTGATGCGAGAGAAAATAAATTCTACCGGTACTTTTACTAGATTTCAAAGATAATACTATACAAGTTCTCTATAAAATTCCACGAATTAAGTAAAATATTTTTTAAAAACTTGAAGTTTTACTGTCTTTTCGTGCCGTTTTCAGGAAAGGTCTCTTGGTGTCCGCAGTCATCAGCCCCTGTCTTTAGCTCTGTGACCTGTCGGAAGATAGATCTTCATTTGTGAGGAACAAATAAATCACACTCAAACAAACACTGACCAGATGTCGTTTTCATTATCATTTGGTCACTGTTTGTGGTATTTGTAAATTGAATTCCCCACCTGTATGTTTACCTGCGAAATCCTTCGTCTTTCATCTATCCGATGAATCATTCTGTTTTGCGCCGCCATTGGCCACTTTACTACTAAGCCCTCCCATATTTGGATCATTTATGCTAATTTATGTTAATGAACCGCGCTCACCTAATAAGGTATGAGGTTATCTGACTGCCCAACTGAGCGTTTATTTTGCCTACATGTTTTCATGGAGTTATCGGCGTTGGGAAACGGTGGTGAAACTCGCCGAATTTGACGGGGATTTACGCGGTGTGTTACTTGAAACTCTTTAAGGATTAATGCAGGGAGCAGAGGAGATTATTGAACCTGGCGTAGGCTAGTTTTTCCTCTTCAAGAATGGCCAGAAGTCGTGTGTTTTCCGGTTGGCATTTTGTCGTCTTTGGGTCACTCTTTCAAGCCATGCTAGTTTTCGGTAAGTCCAAGTTGACTTCTTTTGACGACCCAGTGTTCACGTGCCTTTCACAGGGGTTACAGCCTGCTGTTTGTCAGTGTGAGTGTCGAATCTCCCCGACTGTGAACACTGTGTGCCGTGAAATGCGTGTGTGTACTGGTGTACTCGCTGTATGAGGTCGGAGTTGGCCGTGTTTTGACAAAGAGCGTATAATCTAAATCTCGGTTGAGTGTGTACACAACTGCCGCATTCGCCCTTCAAAACTTCGTACCAACTTCTTTGGAACTTAGGTAAACACGACCCACGCCAACCACCTTTCCACATCTGGTCACCATACCATCCCATATTATCCATGCTTGTCCCGGCATGGTTATTTTTCAGGTAAAATCAGATCTAATAGTTCCATCGAGTTTGTGTATTTTTGTTCTTGCTGTGTGTGATCGTGTGAGTGATCGGCGTGTAGCCTCGCTAGTAAAAACTTGTGTGTGTGTGTGGCAGTGTTTTTACATTGACGTGCTACGACGTCGGCTGAAATTGCGTTTAATATTTGTTTTCCACTGTTAATGCTATGATCAGTGCCGTGTCGCCGCATACAGATTGTGCGAGATGTCTCTACTTGACTCAAGGAGATGTTACAATCGAAGTTGTATGCTTGGAACCTTCGGGATGACCATTTGTTAGCAAGTGACTGTGGCAAACCCCAGTATCCAGCGCTGAATTGATATAAACAACGGCGTGGTGAACTTCTTTGAAGCGCCACAATTTCTACTTTGTTCAAGAATCTTAAGGATCGCTGTTAACAAAATCTGTAAGGCGACGTGTGATTTATCGGTCTCTCTGGAGTCGATTCTCGACAGTCGTGGGGTTTACTGTGCGGAGTGCGGGAATGTGAGCTGTCAACGCCTTGCAAATGCAGAGGGCGAACTGAAGATCAAAGAACCGCTCTGCCACTGAACTACGTGAAGAGGAAGGAAAACGTTTACAACGAGGCGGCGCTTTTTGTACAGGAAAATCCTTGTTGCGCCATTCCGACACAAAATTCACTATTACAAAAATAAAACCTGATACACTGATTGATATGGGAGTTGATATCACGTAGAATACATGTAAAAAAAATCTGTTTAAACCTGCAGTTTTATCAAGTCCTGGAACTAAAATAAGACAATAATCATAAATGTTCTGCAGTTTGCTAAATCTGGGAAATTGAACATTCTTACATAGCATTGGAGTAACTGTGGAACAGTATTGAAGGTACTGTCTAAGTCTGAAACATCAGAACACGGATTTACTCAACGATAATTATAAGTGTTATAAAACTGCTCACAGGTGTGCTGAGTAGCAGATGCAGGGAACTATATCATACATGAGCAGAGGTGCGTGATATAATGGATACCTACGTATCACAATATAGTATCGCGTGTGAAAAGTTAATTCTACTGGAGCCCGATTAACAAGAGCTGTAGGATTTAACAGTCGGTCCTATCACAATGAACATTATACATACTAATAAAAGCTTGTACAATGGGTATATTAGTATGACACATATGTTGGCGCGCTAACAGTGCTAAGGTCATAGTTCATCATATCCTATTTATTGGAATTTGCAACTCTAAATGACACAATTTTTTTCTTATCTGATGATAATGAACTATTGTGTAATTTGTTATATTAAATTATTTGCTCCTGGGAAGGTGATGTATTAGTGAAAGGAAGTTATCCCAATGAATGAAAATACCACACACTGGTCCATGGTTTTGTTTGCTTGATAGGCACATGTCAAACAAGCTTGCCATACCAGCCATAAAACGGGTAGTAAATTAACCATGCAAGGTATTAGAAAAGCTCAAAGGAGACGTTGACAGTTATTTAGGAAATGTTTATTTTTGTTGGTAGTTGCATTGATTAAGTCAATGGAAATAACACAAACGTTTCTAACTTCAGTCCGAAGCTTATGGGGTTTCATTAGTTTATCTAAAACCATTTATGCTCCATGTTGGAGAAGCGTTACTGGGCAATTAAATTATTTGTAAATTTTTTGAAGTTTAGGTATTAGTTTCCCTTTTGATAAAAGATAAATTTTCATCTTGTATTATTGAATCTGTCTTTTTTTTTTTTTTTTTAAAGCTGGTATTTTGGAAAGAAACCCTAACCTACTTCACCCGCTCCTCTAGCCACTCCCCTGGCTTTGCACTATATGAATCCAATTTGAAACCCAATTCACCAAAAGATTTTTTTTTAAATTGCTTTCATTTTATAACTCTTGATCTTTTTCTCATATTCAAGTATTTTTCAAGTGTCTGAGCTTTGGCGTTCTTCAACTTTCCAGTACCTCAGAAATAAGCTAGTGTGTTCTATTGCGATCCCTATTCTTATGAGGAGGCGTGTTGAAAGCCAGAATGCATTAGACGATGGACGACCAGACATTTAATATGTCGTGGTCTGACCATAATACACCATTGCGCAGTGTTTAGTGCAGGCGCTTTTAGAAACCTAACTCCGAAAATAAGAATCTTGGTGCATACAAGTCAATACTGAGGGTTGGTAAACAATGGTATTTTTGATGCTAGCCCATGCATTTATAGAGTATGGCAGGTCAATTAGAAAGGTGCTAGAGGGACTCGCATGGTATGGAATCCACCTGCTGAAACCGACACCTATAGATTGTGAACTTTGTAAGTCTGAAGTGCTTTGTTGGTTCCAAATGGATGGAATTAGTAAAAACTTTATTGCGCCGAGTTTTGAGTTACTTATTGAAGAGGTAGTGGGACTATACCATTCATACTGCCTGAAGGTGAGGGGTATCTGGAAAAGCTTCACCGGTTTTGGTCCTTTGTTGTTAGAGATCAGAAAAACTGGGAAGATTCTATTGCGTACTGACAGCTCATTAATCACTTCTAGTTGGGAAAGCAGAGATTCACTTTCTTTCATTTTAATCATGCTGATCAAATTAGAATTATTGTTCACGGCAAAGTGATTTATCAAAACCTCAGCATCTGGGATTCACTGAACTGTTGCAGCGGCTGCAACTTTTATATCTACTGCAGACCCCTTAACTCACTTGTTATTTTTCTCAGGTTGGTGACATGTACTTGCACACTGTTGGCTGTATTGCATTATTACAATCTTTTACCTCAATAATTATCACAAAAAGTTAATCTCAAATGTCAGAGGCTTGTGTTAATTATGTCAAGAAGCCATACTGATGAGCTGATCACACCCCCATATTGTTAAATTCTGACAATTGGTAATCTTGATTTCACCAACCTTGGGTCTGTTTTAAGGTAGTGAATATGAATGCTGTTTCTGTATACCGGTACTTGTGTTATGTTCTCGGATACCGTCCATTCAATGTCTGCTTTAAATATAACTAGTTTACTATGTTATCAGTGTGTACAGAATGGTAAAATAACAACAATCAGGACTTGCAAAAACAAAAACACTTACAATATAAATGTGTTAGGTGATTTGCTGGGAAAAAAAGTCATCCATGCTTCAATGGTTGCCCTTAATCTACATAAAACAAGAAAAAGTTGAATTATGCAATAAATTTAGGTGAAATACTCCTTGATACCTTAGTTCCTTGAAGAATGTTTGTGCACATGACAATTAAAATGCATAGTGGAAGTATTCTCAAAGATGAGCAGGAAGTCCCTAGAAAAAGAAATTGTTTCGTTAGGGGGACTATTGTCTGTTCTTATTTGTGACTAGTCCTAGCAGCGTTTGGGGGATCGTGAAGGAGCTCAGCTCCACCTTTGAAAATCACCATGCTCATACGGCTTATTTATAATGTAATCGAGAATGGTGTATGATTTAAAAAAAAATTATATCATGTTTCTCTGTGAAATCAGATTCGCACATAATTGAATCGCACACAATTCTAATGTACTTCTATTTCAAGGTTCGGTAGAGGATTATCTATTTCTGGTTTGGTAGTGTTTGTTCAATACATGTTGGCGTTCATCATAAATGATAACATTGCCATGCAACAACATGCATCAAAGCAAGGCAGCAAATATGTTCAGAACAAAAATAGTTAACCCTGGTGGCGTTGCAGGGGTTAGAAGCCAAAGGTGTGTACGAAGACAAAACAATTGGCGAATATGGGGCAGAAAAACGCTCAACTAGAATACTGAATAAAAATAACAACAAATGTAAACAAATGTTGACATAAATTCTTAGTACTACTGGGCAGATTAAGTTGCCAATGATATGCGGCTTTGTGTTTGAGAGGAATGTTACACTGCATGATGGGAAAAGTGTAGAGGTCAGCAGGTTCCATCAATAGTGGCGCAAAGTGGTCACACAATAGCCAGCGACACGGACAATCGCTGATGAAAGGTGTAAGCGTTAATTGTGAAAAATAAATGAAATTCTAGCTAGGGAAGGATGGTGGTATCATTGAGGTTTGAGTGGTTCTACTTTGGACTGCCCCCTCATCAAGCAAGGTAGTTGGAAAGCAATGAACAGAACGTGAAGTACAGTAATGAGAGAAAATAATGTGATTAATTATTTAGTTGGGATAGGCGAGCGTTGCCTCTAGATAGAGCTGTGGTCAAGTCGTAGACTGTATCACGTCAGATTTGAACAAAATTCCTTTTGGTGATGTGGGCCTGTCAAATGAGATTGGCAGTTTGTGTACTCAGTTGTGGGTACAGATAAATTTGTTTCACAAGTATTTTTATCATTTATACATGTCTTGTTGATATTGGGCTTCTCATATTTATTGTCCAGAAATGACCCACATTTGGTCAAGATTTGGATATTCAAAAATAAATACTTTGCTTGAAGTGAGTGTTTCAGTGTAGTAGCCATGACAGTAATACAAACGAATGTACAATACAAGAAACTTCATCTGATAGACTTGGACGATTATGGGCTATGCAAGTATTCGTGTTCTTTGAAGTACGTAAATATTAACTTGTTGAATTTGCACCAATATGTATACACAGGTACTGTAATGTTATACTAATTCAGAATTTGTTTCACATGTAATGTTATTGGCATTATGAAAATTATTTGTG